GGCGGCGGCCGTGGGGCCGTGAGGCGCTGTTGGGCCGTGAGGCGTTGGGCGCGTTTCTCAGGCAACCCCCCCGTCGCCCTGTGTAGCTGCGTTTCCCGAGGCATCCTTTTCCTAGAATGTAGCTTGTACATAGCTTTTGGAATAACCACCGCCGGGTTTTTATAAGGGGAAAGTCTCTCCGGGGCGCCGCCCGCCGGTACCAGCTCTTTGCGTAACTTCTTGTACGAGGAGGGAGACAGTTATTTTACTAGCACCTTGTGGAGTGTTTCCGTGTTTTGTGACGATGTAATTTATTAATGTTTGTAGCTTTTTATATTTGTACATTTCTTATGGGCTTTGTTTATATACACACATTACCGGGGCGCGGCGCCCGCGGGGAACCAGAGCCACCCGCGGCCGTGGGCGAGGGCCGCGAGGGCCGCGCCGGCCTGGGCGTCGCGCTGGCTTTTTTTATTATGATTATTATTATTAGTATTATTATTTTTTCGCGACATGTACATTTCTAACAAAGTTTATCGTGGCTATCTATCTATGACGGTGTTTTATTTACCGATTCATATCAAATGCTCTTGTATCGAGTTCACGAAATCTAAGTAAACCTAGAGCAAAGTTTAAGAAAAGAAAAAAAAGGAAAAAAAAAAGAAAGCAAAGTAAACTATTTCAGGTTTTGTACACAACCGCCTGGGCCTGGCCTTTTTGTGGGGTCGGCGAGGGGCAGTGCGTGGGCTCGGTGGGGGAGCAGAGGCAGCCGCGGGGTCCCTGCGGGTGGGTGGGAGGAGCGGGCAGGGACCCACCACAGGTAGAGGAGGGCAGACAGCCCGGCATGGCGCTCTGCCCTCCTCAGCCCGCTCCCGCAGCAGGAGCAGGCATATGGGGGGCTCTGCTGCCCCTTTGCAGGCACACCGCTGGGTACTAAGCCTGTGCCCCATCTGCTACCCAAAACCCCTACCAAGACCTCTGCTTACTGTAGCATGACAAGAAACCCTGGCTAATTTGGCATGGCCTTGAGTGTGCTGGTAAGATACCCCATGGTCCGTCCAGACATGTCCGCCCACCGCCCAGCTCTGCTCTCATCATCCACCTCCCTTGGACAAGCATACACACTCTGTTTCCCCCCTCCATCTTGGAGGTCACCAGGTGCTTCTTTTCACCCACTGAAACGTCAGGTATCTCACGATTTACTTTGAGCCGTTTCTCCAGATTGACCCTCCTGTCCCTGGGGCCGTTTTCCAGATACTCCTTGGTTATCACAAGCGGGACTGAACATGATACCCGTAGACATGCGCAACTGCTGCTGCTCCTGCAGTTCTCTTTCCTAACTCAAGGCTGTTCACATGTCCCACACCTAGGCTGCTGCCTAGCACTTGGCCACATTATGCTGGCAGTGACGCGAGCCAACCACGGCCTGCACAGAGTTACCCGTTAGCCCTTCTGACGGCCCCAGCAGGCTCAAGGTTAGCGTTGCAGAGTCCTCTACCTAGAGGTAAGCATGATGAGGCCTCAAACCCCAATCATGTTGTATTTGCTTACTAGATGACAATGGGATGGGATAATATGGAGCTTTTCACTGGCCACATCTCTTCAAACAGGTTGCCTTTTGATGAAGTGTCATTGTAAGTAATTCTTTAAGAAAGACAGAAGGCCAGGTGTGCTGTTGAGGGATTGTTTCCTTTCTGGGAGACTTTGCCTCTGAGATGCCTACAACACTGTGTGTCTGTCCTGGATCTCTGATGATGCACAGCAGGCTGTGTGTGTGCAGGAGGTTGCCTGATACTACGTGCAGTACGAGGCATTGCAAAACTCATCCCAGCTAGATGTTGTCAGCTTTCAAAGCAGGCAGCTAGTGGTGACACGTGGTCAGCGGATGAAGACAGTGTTCCCCAGGGGAAGGCTCTGACAACCCATTTGGACTGAGGAGTCTGAAGGAAGGCTGGGAAGTTACTTTCAGCCAAGGGTAAGCTTTCGGCCAAGGACAGCATGACAGGTGTATACAGGGGCCAAGGGAATGTTCCTGTGGGGAACCGGGCGCTGGGGTGGATGTACCAAAAGAGGCAGCAGTTTGATCCTCTCTTGTTGCCTTCCAGCAGAGAACTTAACTTACTCAAATGTTGGCCCTTAGCTCCTTACAAAGTCACAGGCCAAAACAGTAGTGCTTGGATAGACAGAGCTTCCCACTATGCAAGCTCCCAATCACATCTAGTTCCCACCTTTACTCAGGAGTTCCCTGCAAGAGCGGGGAAATGACTGCCAGCGGGGATGTGCCCTGCCTGCATCCCCACACCTTCCCACTCCTGCCTGTGTTTTCCCACCAAGCGTCTTGCATTGGCTCACTGACCTCATGAGAAGCTCACCCAGAGCCGAAAAAGAAGGTGTTTCATTTTCCTGTTGGAAAGGTGTTTTGGCTCCTGGCAACCTCCACCTCCAACAAGTGCTAGAGCAGGTGGGTGCCCACATGAACACGGAGTGGATCAGGAGTACGACGTTTGCTGGCTGCAAACTCCTACCTTGGCTTGGGCACTGGCAGAAGTGCAGCAGCATGACCAGCGTCTTTAAGGCCATGTGAGGGTGTGTGCTGCTAAGCAGCCAAACAGCAGTTTCTTTGAAACACGCTGCCTTCCCATTTATGCCATGCAGCAGTGTTCCTGATGCTTTTATGTGTTAGGGATAAGGCTTTAAGCTCCATCCGGGATGATCAGTGATCCGTTATGTATGCTCTTATGTACAGAGCCCAAAAGAATGTGCAAGCGACCTGAAAGCTGTGGCACGGGCCAGGTTTTGTGGCTGTGTTCTCCTGAAGTCACACTTCAAAGCTGTCCCAGTGGGATGTTCCCTCATGGATATTGATAGAGCATTGATAGAGACACTGCTGTGCCCGCAGCTCCTGGGGGTTTGGCTCTTCCCACATTGCCATCCAGCACCTCACACTGCTCAGAGACAAACCCCACCAAGCATATGACACCTGTAAACACATGCTGACCTTGTTCCCCTTCACAAAGGGCAGATGAGATGGTCGTGCTACTGCACCGATCGCTTTTGGTAGGCTACATCAGCGTTGTCCTGCAGATATGCATCGCTCAGATTTCCCCTCCGGCTTCCGA